CACACACACACACACACACACACACACACACACACACACACGCACACACACACACACCCTGTCTCAAACCCACAGGTGCAAGAGCTTGAGGCGCGCAACAAGGAGTTGGAGAGCACGCTGGCACAGCTGGAGGACGCTGTGCAGAAGACACCTGCCCTGCTGGATGCCGTCCCCTCACTCCGCCAGCATGTCACCACGCGTCGTGTCGCGGTCATGGGCATTCTCTTCTGCTTCGCCATCTTTGCGACGTGCTCCGGGCCACTCGCCACCGTCCTGCCCCAGGCTGTCACCACCACCGCCACCACCGCCAATGTTGCTGCGATGCAGCGTGGTGTTGCTGTGCACGGCGGCGTGGGTTCCACTGGAAGGTTCACAAACGGTCATGGCGACGTCGTGATTGACAGCAGACATGATGCAAGCAGTCGCCTGTCTGCATGGAGCACGTGGACCAAAGACACGGACGCAGGATCCCTATCACCAGCAGAAGCATCATCATCGTCCTCGCTCGCCCGCCACGGTACATTTGTTGGCCGCACGCTGCAGAGCGTGAACCCAAGCAGGCGGCTTCGCGACACAGCCAGGGATGGCGATGGCGATGGTGTTCTGAGCACGGACCTCGTGGTGTCGGCCATCCCCGTTGTTCTTGATGAAGACGGCACCGTCACCGATGCGCCCGACCACACGTCATCACGATCATCATCACCATCGTCGTCGACATCATCATCGAGGGAGGTGGTGTATGAGCTTGGCCATCCCATGCAGCGCGTTGCTCCCCGGCGCCTCGCGGGCGGACGGCCGCTGCCGCGTGTCCACGACGCCCTCCGCCAGCAGGAGAAGCAAGTCTACGCCATGATGCTCCGTGACATGCACAACAACGCCAACGCCAATGCCCATGGCAGCAGCAACAACAACATCAACGGAGGCGATGGCCATCGCCAACAGCAGCAGCAGCAGCAGCAGCGTGTGAGCGAGCGCCTGCCATCGCCAACTGGTGCCACGATGACGGAACTCGTGTCTGTCTCCGACGGCCGCCACCCCGTCCTGCGCATTGATGACGACTATCGCGGTCTTGTGCACGACGCCGTGCCGCGCCACAATGACCGCTCGTACATTCTCTGCCCGGAGGTTGAGGTGATGGCTGCCTTCTCCACCACCAACGCATCCGGCCAGCCCACCAAGCTCTCCGTCATCGTCCCGTCCACCTTCAAGAACGGTGAGCGGCTGTGTGTGTCTGTGTGTGTGTGTGTCTGTGTGTGTGTGTGTGGATGTGTGGATGTGTGTGTGTCTGTGTGTGTCCGTGTGTCTGTGTGTGTCCGTGTGTCTGTGTGTGTCTGCGTCTGTGTCTGCGTCTGTGTCTGTACACGTGTGTGCGTGTGCGTGTCAGTCAGCCAGTCAGTCAGTCTACCTGTCAGTCTACCGGTGTATGTCTGCCTGGCTGCCTGTTTATACATGCAATTCCTCCTCCCCCCTCTCCCTTTTCCTGCTCGTCTCGTACATTGGCCATCACACGCTCCTCACCGATCCGCCTCCTTCCCCCTCCCCGCGCGTCTTCCCCGTCTGCACCGACCAGGCACCACGCCGCATCTGATGCAGCTTGAATGCGAGGTCACGGGTCTCTCCTACATCCCAATCGACACAAAGCCCTCCGCGGTGCCCGTCACCGCAGGCTGAGCACCCACCCACCTTTGTCTGTGTGTGTGTGTGTGTGTGTGTGTGTGTGTGTGTGTGTGTGTGTGTGTGTGTGTGTGTGTGTGTGTCTGTTTGTGTGTCTGTCTGTCTGTCTGTCTGTCTGTCTGTGTCTGTGTCTGTGTCTGTGTCTGTTCGCCCTTCTCACGTTGGTGCCTACGATTGTCGTTTCTAGCCCCGCAGGCTTACTTGAATGCGACTGTTCAGCACTCCTTCACTGCTGCTCTTCTCGTTGCTGTGCTCTTGCTGACCTCTTGCATGCTCTGGCTGGTTGTTGTGCGAGATGTGTGTGTCTGTGTCTGTGTCTATGTGCGTGGCTGCGTGGGTGCGTGCGTCTGTGTGTGTGTGTGATCACGATAACTCACTTTTTGTGGCGCTGCTGCCGCTTACAGTTCCTTTCACTGAATTAGACAAACGAACAAACGAACGAACACGTGTCATTTACAAGCCAGCACATGGCATATGGACAAGTGCATGTGCATGTATGTATGTACAAGGGGGCGCGCGTCATGATAACATCCCAAGAACGAGCAGGACCGAGAAGGGTGTTCACGTGTTGTTCCTTGCATGCTGCGACTGGCGAGCGAGCAGAGACAAAAGGTGAAGTCTCAGAAGAGCAAACGCTTAGCCAACACCGCGACCACACACAGACACCCACCGCCATCGCAACCACTTTTGTAACAACCAATGATGAGTGATGGTGGCGCTGCTTTACGCAAGCTTTGGTGGGCGGGCAGGGTTTCGCTGCATGCGTGATGCAAGCCACTCCACGCTCTCCCGAACATTCTCCCTGCAATGGCATGGGGTTACGGCGAGGGAGTGAGGGTGGTGGAAGATGGGCAAAGCGAGTGGGGGGGGTTGTTGGGTGGTTGTTCAGTGGTGGTGGTGGTGATTGTGAGGCATGCGATGTGGAGGGAGGGATCATAGGCGGGAGACAAATGCGGGTGGCAGGTAGAGAACCGAAGGGATGAGCACGACGACTTGCAGACCAAGGCGCACACGCACTCGCACAGAAACGCACCCGCTAACCGCTGATACGCCCTGGACTTTGCAATCGCGAAGACCAAGCTTGTGCGCAGACTGGTTCAGTGTCTGCTTGATGTCCTGCACTGTCATTGCGTTCTGCAACAGTTGGCATCACAGGCAAGTACATCGCGCATGCACGACGGCAGGCAACAAGATGAGGGCAGAAAGCGGGTGTGTCGTGTAAACACCTTCACAAGGTGTGCAGCGACGAATACACACACACACACACACACACACACACACACACACACACACACACACACTACACACACACGACGG